AAAAAAAAAAAAAAAAGGCCGGGCGCAGTGGCTCACGCCTGTAATCCAGCATTTTGGGAGGCCGAGGCGGACGGATTACCTGGTCAGGAGGTGGGGACCAGCCTGACCAACGTGGAGAAACCCCCTCTCTACTAAAAAAAAGTATAAAATTAGCCGGGCGTGGTGGCGCATGCCTGGAATCCCAGCTACTCAGGAGGCTGAGGCAGGAGAATCACTTGAACCCGGGAGGCGGAGGTTGCGGTGAGCCAAGATCGCGCCATTGCACTCCAGCCTGGGCAACAAGAGCGAAACTCCATTTCCAAAAAAATAAATAAATAAAGTAGATTAGTATATTTGTTACAATTAATGAATGAATACTGATACATTATTAACTAAGGTTCATACTTGATTGACATTTCTTTGGTTTTTAGCTATTGCTCTTTTTCTGTACATGGATCTCATTTAGGATTCCACATTATATTTAGTTGTCACATCTCCTTACGCTCCTCTTAAGTGTGACGGGTTTCTCAGACTTTACTGTTTTTGATGACTGACAGTTTTGAGGAGTTGGTTATATTGTAGGATGCCTTTCTGCTTGAATTTGTCTGATGTTTTTCTCTTTATTAGCCTGAGGTTATGGGTTTTTAGGAGGAGGATCGCAGAGGTGAAGTATCATTGTATTGTATAATATTAAGGGCACATACCGAAAACATGATTTATGAGTATTGATGCTGACCTTGGTCATCTGGTTGAAGTAGTGTTTTTCTGGTCTCTCCACTGTAAAGATATTCCTCTTGATTTCCTAAATTATACTGAATGAGGGCTGGGCGCAGTGGCTCACGCCTGTAATCCCAGCACTTTGGGAGGCCGAGGCAGGCGGATCACGAGATCAGGAGTTCAAGACCAGACTGACAACATGGTGAAACCCCATCTCTACTAAAAGTACAAAACTTAGCCAGATATAGTGGCATACGCCTGTAATCCCAGCTACACAGGAGGCTGAGGCAGGAGAATCACTTGCACCCGGGAGGCAGAGGTTGCAGTGAGCTGAGATTGTGCCACTGCACTCCAGCCTGGGTGACAGAGCAAGACTCTGTCACAAAAACAAAAAAC